ACCCCTTTATTTACTTAGAATATTCAGTAACTGTCTTAATTAGATTTTTCCATTAACTTCCCCACTACCTTCTCAGAGTTGTCCAACATTCATTCTTCATCTCTCCTTTTGTAAGAACAGCGTTTAGAATGTTTAATTATTAACAAAATTATAAGTTTAGCAACTTTTTTAACTTTAACTTTTATTAAAATCAATTTTGAATGTTCTTGATAATGTAGTCTTTCTACCTGATCGTAATCAATACTTCTCAAAAGTCTTATTAACCAGACATCTCTAGCATCTCCCAAGCATAAATATATACATAAGATAATGAAAACTAGTTTTAACATCTATCTTTATATGGAACCAACTCTATTAAAAATAGTTTTAACTGTTTGTCATGGAAAATGTGAAACATAAAATGGAGAGAATACTATAATAAACTGATGACTATTTCATCTATTTCCTCCCTTTCATTTCCCACTCCAATATTATCTTAACCAAATTTGAACATTGTATCAATACATCTATAAATAATTTAAAGTATATCTCTAAAAGAAAAGGACTCTAGGCCAGGCACGGTGGCTCAAGCCTGTAATCCCAGCACTTTGGGAGGCCGAGGTTGGCGGATCACGAGGTCAGGAAATCAAGACCATCCTGGCTAACACGGTGAAACCCTGTCTCTACTAAAAATACAAAAAAAATTAGCTGGGTGAGGTGGCGGGCGCCTGTAGTCCCAGCTACTCAGAAGGCTGAGGCAGGAGAATGGCGTAAACCTGGGAGATGTAGCTTGCAGTGAGCTGAGATCGCGCCATTGCACTCAAGCCTGGGCGACAGAACAAGACTCCATCTCCAAAAAAAAAAAAAGAAAAAAAGAAAAGAAAAGGACTCTAAATATGACAGTAATATTAGTTTTAAAATTTTAATAATTATTGCTTAATAGCATCAAAATATCTAGTCATTTTCCTATTTATCCTCTCATGTCATAATCTTGTTTGGTCTCTTAGATCTCTTAGTCGTTTTTAATTTGTAAGTTTCGCTCCGTTCTCTCTCCTCTCTCCTTATTTCTTGATGTATTTTTTCAAAGAAACCTGTAGCTCCAAGACAGCACATGTAAGTACTCAATCTTGGTCTCTAGATACTATTTACCATTAAAAGGAACCAGAACTTTTTGTAGTAGCAGCTGATTTCAAGTTTAGAACAGGAAAAAAGCAAGATGATCCAGGAGCATCTTGTCACACCACAAAGAAAAACTATTAAGGACCACAGAGTTTATATTAACAGATGCAGGAGCCACCTTGAGGCTGGCACTAGCCAAAGATGGGGCAGTTGAGAATCAATGAGAAAAATAACAGTAATAGATTGAAATACATCAAATAAGTTTAAATCAAGGAGTTGATAATGATAATCAAAATTCAACAGAAGTCCTAACCTTTGGGGATGTTGGGGACCCAATGCATTATTTTAAAAACTGGCTAGTAAAGAGGAAAATAAATAAATAATTGGCCTATCTTTCCCATATGAACTGTATCTTAGACCAATCAAGTGGAAAAGGAGTAAGATTTTCTTAGTCTAAAGAAAGCGTGATATAATTAGAGTATCATCATTTTATTTGTTTGTTTGTGAGTCTCACTCTGTTGCCCAGGCTGGAATGCAGTGATGTGATCATGGTTCACTGCAGCCTCCAAATCCTGGGCTCAAATGATCCTCCTGCCTCAGCCTCCCAAGTAGCTGTGACTGGCTGTGCATTCCACCACACCTGGCTAAGTTTTTCTATTTTGGGGAGAGACAAGGTCTTCCTATGTTGGCTAGGCTAGTCTTGAACTCCTGGGCTCAAGTGATAATCCTACATCAGCCTCCCAAAGTGCTGGGATTACAGGTGTGAGCCACCATGGCTTGCCATCATTATTTTGCAGCCCCAGTAAAATTATGTAGGCAGTAATCATCAAAGGCTGCTAATGTCATGAGAGACACCCAACATTTGAAGGCACATCCTCACCCCTGAAGTGTTCTTGCAAAAAAGAAAAAAAAAAGACTTCTTCATTGACTTTTAATGATTTTAGTACTTCAGGTATATGGGCAGAGAAAAAGAGCTAGTGACTTTTTCCTTTTTTTTTTTCTCTGACATAGAAAAAAGGTACAATATTAGGTTTATTTTTAAAAAAGGGAAATTAGGCTTACTCATGAGGCAAGAACTCTCAATTAGAACACCAAACACTTTTATTTTATTTTATTTTTATTTTTGAGACTGAGTCACAAGACTCTATCACCCAGACTGGTGGAATTCAGTGACACAACCTTGGCTCAGCAACCTCCGCTCACTGCAACCTCCGCCTCCTGAGTTCAAGTGATTCTCCTTCCTCAGCCTCCCGAGTAACTAAGACTAAAGGCATGTGCCACCATGCCCAGTTAATTTTTTTGTATTTTTCATAGAGATAGGGTTTCACCATGTTGGCCAGGCTGATCTTGAATGCCTGACCTCAGGTGATCCGCCCATTTTGGCCTCCCAAAGTGCTTGGATAAGAGGTGTGAGCCACCATGCCCGGCCTAGAGCAACAAACACTTTTAAAATAAGCATTTGTTTAGTGGACCTAGCTGAAGGAAAAAGTAGCTGCAAGGAACATGTAAGATAGGACCAAATGGACATCTTTGCTAGTAAGTCAAGGTCTCTCAGTTAGACAACACAAAGTTTTAAATTTTATATTACCATTCCTACTGAAGTTCATAGATAAAGAAAAAGTGGCTGCAGGGAATGTTTAGAGCATCATTATGTCTGTCCTGCTTGTGGTTGAAACAGTTACTTAACCTCTCAGCCTGTTTCTTCATCTGTAATATAATGCAGATAACAACAATATCTACCTCATAGCATTATACAAGGATTAAATGAAGTAATGCACTAAAGCACACAAAACTCTGAATAAATGTTATGTATAATAAAATGTATTAATATTACATTATCCTTATGCCATGAGTCTCATACTTGTTCTATACATTCAGAAAATAGAACTACAAAAGAGCATAAATCAGAAAGGTTTTAGATGCTCGTTTAATAATCAACTTGAAGTAAACTTACAAAACAGTGTTTATTTAAATAGGCATTGACAATTTCACATCAGGCTACTCAATAGTACCTATAATATGTTTTTTTTTTTAAGTCTTTGGGCCTAAAAGTGTTTTTTTAAATCTTCACATTTATGCTATTATTTTATTTAAAGTACATGTTTTTGTAGACACTCCTCCATCAAACAACTGAATTGTGGGCATCTATTACATATTGGCTGCTTTTCTCATGGGATGAGCCCTCTGTGAGCTTCCTCTTCCCAGAGAAGCACCACATCAACTGTCAAGTGCAGACATAATTCATAAGGACAAACAGCCTATGTTGAAAATGCTAAATGTCTCAGTTGTGCGACTGATTTATAATTTTATAACAGCCTAACTACAGATGTGTATTAGGAAAATGTTCATATTCAATGGAAACTATCACTATTACAAAGCAAATTTTCTCCTTAACCTCCTGGAATCTTATATAGCTGAGGGCTAAAACTACTCAGGTACAGCTTTTTTTCTACTTGCATCCTGAGAACACCAACACTCATCATCATCATTACTATCATCATTTTCATTAGATGCATGGAGAAATTATTTTTATGTCGTGAACGTGGGGTACCAATATACTGTGATTTTCTTCATGGTCTTTTTTTTTTTTCCTTAAGAATGTTGCTTAAAATTTTTTACCCTTGTATTGATTCACATGACTTGAAAAATCTTCTTATGAACTGTATCTTCCTGAAGCAGGCTCTAAAATTCTAAGATGATTAAACCATTGCTTAAAAACCATTTCAGCTGCAACAGTGTCTATTTATAAAGATGTCCAGACTGGTGGACAGGAGCAGAGATAGATCTCCTAGGTACAGAGACCAACAGAGACCACCTTGGATAAGGGAAAAAATAAGTCTCAGAGTACACCTGGCAAAGTGTCACCTGTCTTACTTTTCTTTCTCAGGTTTCCCAGGCTTAAGAAGACATAGCAAGAAAAAAGCAAACAGGAGAGGTCAGAGGAATGACTGCCTTCCTCCAGGATAATGAACTAGGGAAAAAAACCAAAGGCCTTAAGCAGGGCAATAAAATATGTGAAAAGTGGCAGGAGGGATATTTGATGACAGAGAAGACCATTGTATCAAAACGATCTCAGACATTTAGACTGCAGATATCATATCAGGGAAATTTAAAAACTGTGAATACAGACTTTTTTTAATTTTAAAAGTTAAACTTGATGTTCATTAATTTATAAATACAAGTTTGTGAAGAATTTTAGCAAATTTTATTACAGCCATGTGTTTATTACTTAGAATTTTCTGTGGCATTTTGCCCTTGTCTTCCTTTTTCCTCTCCCATAATGTATATTCTTCTGTAGTCTTGTTGGTTAAGTTGTTTGACTGAGAAGCCTTGAAGTTTTTGAAGACTAAGACTACTGAAGAGAAAAGGGTTTTGTCTCTATGTGGTACCCACATTTGCAGGGACTCTGGTTATTTAGAATGTGAGTTTATAGCCAGGACACCATCACTCAACAAAATGTCCCAATTACCATCAAAACAAGCATGAGGAAATAAATAACATGCTTAGTTTTTGAACTTCAACCTCACAGTGACTAAAATCATAGTCTCTATATAGGTAAGAATGCAGGAAGACTCTATATAAACAAGAGTTCAGGGAGGCCAAAGAATGTCGCCCTAAATGACAGATATGTTTTATCTTTAGAGTTTCCCTTCCATGCCTCTTTAGAATTCTTTGAAGCATGCATTGACTGACACATTGTCAGAGTTCTGGAGCATAGGAGGAGAAGCATTAACCTTCCAGAGACTGCTCTAGAATAGACCATAACACGTCTCTCTGAAGTTTTCCTACAATCCAGTTTTCTCTGTTTTAACAACTACAGCTTAATATCATTGTGGATCAGCCACATTTAATTTATTGTTTTCTATATGACTTAAATAATGTTAATACTGTAATCTCTCCAGGTGTCATTCTCTATATTCTACTTGTGGGGTATCCACCCTTCTGGGATGAAGACCAACACAGACTCTATCAGCAGATCAAGGCTGGAGCTTATGATGTATGTAATAACTATTTATATCACTTTAGATGAAGGTTTGTTTTTTGCTTGCTGATCAAGAGCCAGATCTTTTCATTTTTCTTTTAACTATAATTTTTACCACTTTCTCTTATTATTTCCCTCTCTCTTAAGGAAAGGGAAAAAGAAATGCAGCATATGTGTTCAGCTTATGTTTCCTTTTAACTCACTCTCTCCTAAGATAAAAAGAAAAGTCATGTGAAGTCTCTGAGGAAGAACTTTGTCAAAATGTTTGGATCTTAGTGCATTTTAAAAACATAAAAATTAAAATATTTCTGCTACAAAAATGATTATTGCCCATTCAGTTGAATTATATTCTCAAATACCTATCACATAATTTTACATTATATACCAACAATATTTTGCAGTGATCACATATCAAATAGAACATTATTCCACTATACCAGTTTCTGGGTTTTGTTTTTTGTTTTTGTATTGTTTACCTAATGGGATGCTATGCAAGCTTTCATTTGAAGAATGAGTTTCACAATTGAAAAATTTGAAAATCATAATTCTAATATATTTAATTTTTAATTAGAATATTTGAAAGTATATATATATACATATTCATAAATTAAGTTCAGAATCTGAAGAGGAAGTCTTTATCTACTTTCTCTTTATGGCTTAACTTTGTGTTTATGATATAATTTGCTCTCCTTTGATATGTATTCTTGTAAATATGATTTACCACTTTCTCTGGTTTCCTCTCATACAGCCCTAGGGAAATCCATGTGCAGGATCTGGGCATGCTTTCCATGTGTCATTAAGTGGAGTAACTATGGAGTAGCAATATTGGGTTCACCTTTTGCGCACAAGTTGAAAGCTTTATGTGAAAGTGAGAGGAGAAAATATAAAATGTCTGTATTGTATTCTATCATGTCTCATGAACTCTTCAGTGCATTTCTGATAAAATTTTCTATTTAGATGGATGTGTGTTTCAGTTAGCAAGAATTTAAAATGTATATTCTTTGAATTTCGAAGCATTCCATTATCCCTAGACTAGTAATTGAAACAAATTATTATTTACATGGCAACAGCTAGCACATTCACCATCTTTACAGACTAGAACCAGCCCCTTTCTGGGCAGACGTAGCCCTGAAAATGCACTGCTTGGTATACCGGAGGAGTGCTTTCATGAAAATTAGAAAACTGAGGAAAAGGTTCACCTTTCTTCATGCCGAACCTACCCCTCATTTGCTATCAAAAGACCTGTACAACATTTAAGAAATAGCCTTGCATGTTTCTTTAGTAGCTCCTAACAGTTAGCAAGCTTTCACAACTGCCAAACATAAGCTTCAGGAATTAAAAAATGACAATTGTTAAGCTGGCAAGAAATTACAGGTATTAGAGTCAATATCATTTTTCTCGTGCTTTATTTTGCCAATGAGTCACAAGTTCCCCATTTTAAAACTACCAAAAATAGACTAATTCCATTGACACAGTGACAATGGCTTTATTTTTCAAGATTGTCTACACAAATTCATGAATTGGGAAAATAACTTGATATTCTATCATTTTGCAACTAATGTAGTATAAATTTCCCTTAATCATTGAAGGACAGTATTTCTACTAAACATGCTAATGATATAAAAGTAATTTATTATCAGTACAAAAAAATAACATGAAGAGAGGAGAAGTAGCTTTCTTATATAGTCTTATTGTAAAAAAATATTAATAATGGGAAGTTATAAGATTTGATTACTTTCATATACTTTGGTGAAATTTGTAATTGGGCAGATTAAACTTCTTGAAGGGTTAAAATGAAATCTTGCTGAAGCTCCTATAGCCTCAGATTCTTCTCACTACAGCACTCCAAGTAGCCATGATTAATAGGTCAGTTTTGGCACAGGAATTGAAGCTGTTTTATTACCTCTGCTATTACTGCTTATAAGTTGTGAAAGTATATAATACCTCATTTTGAACCTTGGCATAATATTACGATGGCATTGGTACATGTAGCAACCTCTTTGCTTTTATTAAGTTTTGCAAATAATTATGAGAAAGATTGTATAAAATTTCATGTTCAGATCAAAGCAGAGATACTTTGAGAATAGATTCTTAAGTTCTTTTTTTCTGAATTTTAAAATGTATTTACCATATGTGATATGCAGCTCAGTATATATGTTGGTCCCTTATCAGATACTCTTTAATATATATAGTTGTCTACATAGAGGGGGAGAATAGATCTAAATGATTTTATTTATTTTAGATACAATTTAACTTATATAAAAAGTAAATTTATGAAGAAATTCACTACTTGAGGAAATGATTCATATAGTTGACTCTTCCCTGTTTGATTGAGTGTGTCTATTTTTTAAACTTTTTATAAATTTATATTTTTGAAGTTTCCATCACCGGAATGGGACACGGTAACTCCTGAAGCCAAAGACCTCATCAATAAAATGCTTACTATCAACCCTGCCAAACGTATCACAGCCTCAGAGGCACTGAAGCACCCATGGATCTGTGTAAGTAAAACTTCTCAAAAACTTCAAGAGCTAAAATGAAAAATAAGCTGTCCTTTAATATATTGTTTATGGATTTAAAATAACTTTGCAAAAAAAAGATGAAATTCAGAATGAATGAATTTTTGACTCAAGGTGTTTAAGAAAATGAATTTTATGATGGCGAAGAAATGCAATTTTCAGTAGCAAAGTCTGAATTGCATAGATTATTAAACAAATATTGCTTGCAGTAACAAAAGGAATGAGTATTCTTCGTATCAATTATTGACAATACTCGTGAACAAGGTCAAGAAAATAACACCAAAATTAAATGTATCCCAGAAGAAAAGATTTAACAAAGTTCAATTATTTGTCATTAGGCAACTTTAGAAGCAAGTATGAAGTTTGGCAGCTGAGAGTAGAGTTTTAGTGGCATAAAAGAATGGTCATAGTAGTCTGAATATTTTTTAGAAATATTAAGAAAAATAGTGTGAAATTTGAGGGGAATCTGAAGACTTCAGTAAATTTCTGAATGTGTCAAATGCTAAGATGATAAATGTGGCACTAAGTAAATGAAAGGCAGCCCAATCGAAATGTGATTGAAAACATTAAAATAAAGATAATTTGAGAAATTATTAATATTTATTTCTACACTTTCTGGTATTTTTATTTTGTTTTGTTTTGACACAGAGTCTTGCTCTTGTCACCCAGGCAGGAGTGCAGTGGCACAGTCTTGGCTCACTGCAACCTCCGCCTCCCAGGTTCAAACAGTTCTCCTGCCTCAGCCTCCCGAGTAGCTGGGATTACAGGTGCCCACCACCACACCCGGCTAATTTTTGTATTTTTAGTAGAGATGGGGTTTCGCCATGTTGGCCAGGCTTGTCTTGAACTCCTGACCTCGTGATCCACCCGCCTCAGCCTCCCAAAGTGCTGGAATTACAGGTGTGAGCCATGACGCCCAACCCATTTCTATACTTTATATGTATCAGTGTTGCGTCTTGGCCACAAGTAGTCTTGGCAAAACTAAAATTTTATTTTTAGGTAACTTTAGCAATTGAATACTTAGAAGTTGATCATGCAGGTGCAGCACCATTAATAAAGATTTGATGAAGTCAGGGACATTATTACACTTAGTGTATTTTAAATATTCTTAATTAAGTTACTTTCTTTTCCCCCTCCTCTAGCAACGTTCTACTGTTGCTTCCATGATGCACAGACAGGAGACTGTAGACTGCTTGAAGAAATTTAATGCTAGAAGAAAACTAAAGGTAAGAAATTTTACATTTTTGTCGGGAGGTAGATTTGACAGACTAAGAAGTGAAATACCATGTGAGGAAAATGACTTCTAGCAAAGGCTTTCAATTATGTAGACCTCAATACTCTCATTATTCTTTTTTGGGGTCTTAGGAAATGGAATATACACCAGAATCAAAACTATGGTGAAAAACTAGAATCATCCTGGCAACACATGCTGTGGATCCTTCCTTCAGTGGAAAACAGCTGTGCAATTTGATCATCAGAATCTGGCCAGCATCATGAGAGACAAAGGCCTTTGACTCTCGGGAAACCAAAAAACAAAAACAAACAATCAAAAATCCCCTAAATGAAAGTAGGGCCAGGAAAAGATTTGTTATCAAAGACTCTATATTTGTTAGGTCCAGGATTTTGCATAGGCAACATTGACTTTTGTGTTCTAATTTTTTTCACAGGGTGCCATCTTGACAACTATGCTGGCTACAAGAAATTTCTCAGGTACATGCATTGAGAACTCTGCTTCTTATCCATTGGTCTTCTTTTTAAGTACTCTCTGTTTTTTTGACTCTAGAATTTTTAAACTCTAATAATTAGAAAAACCTGATTGTTCAGGGGTGGCAAATGTGTGGCACAGATTCCTTCTACACCTCTGGCTGCCATTAGCAGTCTACTTGGGTGCTGTCTGCTGCCGAGCCTCCGTGACTGCACCCCTCACAAGAGTGCTTCTGGCAGCTCTGGTCACCAGTCAGTGCTGGTGCAGGACTAGCCTCATCTGTCAAATGCTGGGATGCATACGAGTTGTGGAAATAAATACTCCCTCATTTACAATCTCAGCATTTCAAACTTAGAAAATATTATTAATATTTCATAAAATAATAACTATGAATAAGTTATTTTTGGTCTCATTTTCATAGGGAATCCTAGTATGCAAGATTTTTAAAAGAAGACCATTATTGGCCAGGTGTGGTGGCTCATGCCTGTAATCCCAGCACTTTTGGGAGGCCGAGGCAGGTGGATCACAAGGTCAAGAGTTCGAGATCATCCTGGCCAATATGGTGAAACCCTGTCTCTACTAAAAATACAAAAATTAGCTGGGTGTAGTGGTGTGTCCCTGTAGTCCCAGCTGCTCAGGAGGCTGAGGCAGGAGAATTGCTTGAACCTGGGAGGCGGAGGTTGTAGTGAGCAGGGATCACGCCACTGCAATGCAGCCTGGCAACAGAGCGAGACTCCATCTCAAAAAGAAAAAAAAAAAACAAAAAAAACAGACCATTATTGAGGAACCCAGTTCTCTTAGACCTAAGTTCATTCAAAAGTATAGTACTTTCTTGGCATACTATAAGAATGACTACAACTGTCAAAGGTATCTAACTCAAGAATTTACAGAGCACCTTGCACTCAGTACTCTCAGAGCATAATAAATGTTCCTCAAAATGATTCCATGGTAAAAAATAAGTGTGTTAAATAATAGGCTAAAAGAAGTCAAACCATTTCTTTATTGTAAGAGTCACTCTCTAAAGGTGGAGATAAAGTATATGTTACTCCAATAACTTACTTGAGTTTTGTATCCTCCTTCTTTGATAGATTATCTCAAAGGACCAGGTTCACAAAAGTCAAATCCTGTTCAATGCTAAGCAGTCTTACGTTGGGGGAAGGACTGGAGCAGCAATTAAGCTGCACTTGGTAACCTTTGGCCCTTTAGACTTAGAACACTTGTCAGCCAAAAATACTACCAGTTTAGTTTGGATACCGTTTACATAACAGTGCTCTGCAAATCAAACCGTCCAGCTATTTTTTCAATTCTTTGTTTTATTTTCTGCTACATACTTAGCCTGGGTGTTATAGTGTTATCAGGTAATAATCCATCATATCATTATTAAATGCTCTTCAACCAATTTCTAGTTATTACTTACAACTGTATTAAGTGGTCACCTTTCCCCCCACCTTTGCATTTCGTTACAAATAATGGGAAACCATAAAAGGCCTTCCAAAGGCTGTTAAACAATAACAACAACAGTAGTACAATGAATAATGCTATGAATTGAGGGACCGTGTTGGCCAGTCATATGTATTTTGTCCAATTCGTTTAATGTAATAATACCTTGTTGCTGCGTTTGTCAAGTTACCTGTTTCATAAACAGTTGATTAATATAGTTGACATTTGTATGGGTGAGTTCAATGCCATCTCATTAAATATTAATTCATATATATGATATTCAAATAAATTTCACTGTGGCCCAGTAATTAGTGAATCATTAAAAGGTAGAATGATTTATATAGCATAAATTCTTAACGGCAAACTAACCCAAACTTTAAAAAATCTTCAGATTTAAAATTGTACATTTTGTTAAAGTGTTACATACACTCTTGGGCATAAATTGGGCCTTTATTCACATATGTACCCATATATAGAAGCTTTTTGTTTACCTCACAGTTTTCTTTTCATCATCATGTAAACTAAAACCTCATGACTAATATGTGAATTTTATATTGTTTCTGAATGTCTTAGCATGAAAAAGCAATTTTTTTTATCCATCACTTCAAAATCAACTGAATAACATTAGACCCAGTTACAACATCTTGTACTTAATACTGCGTTTTAGTTTTGAGTATTTTATTCATCCTATTTCATTGCCAAACATGCTCTTTAAAGTAATTTGTCCATAAGTATATGGTTATAAAGTTGTTTTAATTTTTTCTTTTCTCCCTTTATGTGGAATGTATTTCTTGTGAGGTAAGGTGAATAGTAACCAAAAGGGACATTTCTGCATCTCCCAGGCCAAATCCCTGCTTACCCTGAATCATCATCTTCTCTTTGCTTGCTATTGCAATTTCAATTATTCTGAGTTTGCTTTCTAACCTATTAACTGCCACAGGATTGATTTAATATTGCTTTTTAGCTCCAGGCAAATGATTTAATAGCTAAGGCAACTCTTTCTTACAATCTCAATTAATAATAAATTAATAGCTTTGTTGCTAAAGATTAATGAAATTAACATTTTTGTATCTTTTAAGTAAATTTAAAAGTATACCAATATGATATTGAAATAATGCCCCAAATCAATGAATGTCAGGAAATTACATGTTCATGCAGTTCTAGTCTAGCTAGGTATTTACACTTTCAAAGTCAAGCTCTATTCTGATATACTTAAATAAGTATATGTAATTAATATTAAATGAAAGCATAAGTATGTATGGTGTTCTGCATATTTGTGAATGTTCTACACTTGGTGTACTAATTGTCATTGACAGTTATATTATCTGTTCACTGTGTATATACACGTTCCTTAGTAGATTTTTTTGAAAGGATGACTTCACCTTTTAACATACTCAAGAAGTTTAGTAACAGAAGGAATGTTAAAAGCTCCCTGCCAAGAAAAATAAAGTTGCATATAAGACCATATGCTTTAAGATTTCTCTGATTTAGTTGAAGATTTTATTCTGTTTTTATGTTGTCTCAAGTTTTGTTCATGAAGCCTTTGTATTCTGATTTTAATGTATAAAAGAATACATAGTGCCATTTTTTTAAAGCTCATATGCTAAACATTTTAAAAATTTGCTCTAGGCCAATAATATGCCATTTTATTTAAATAGTAATATTTTTTGTAAAACCAAATTGTCTGACTTCAAGAATATAATGAAGATGTTATTTAGCCAGAGCAAATTTTACAAATGAGTTTTCAACCTCTAGAAAGAGGGGCTTAAATGGCAGAACTGACATGGTCACCATATGTGGTGTGAATGAACATGTAATACTATCTGTCAGCTGGTGTCCAAAGACTGAATTCAACTTTCTGGATTACAAAAGGATAGTCCAGTTAAAGTTCCAGTATCCTTTTCGCAACCAACAGTGAAATAAAGTCCAATAAACACAACTGTCAAAGTATTCAATTATATGCAATGAACTACTCTTTAGTTCTAAATTTGCTGTGGCAAACCAAGAAAAGTGATACTGTATTTCAGTGTCCTGTAAGCTCGCGCTCATCAGTGTGACTTTGATAACTTGCCGTATGTTGGCCATAACTCAGCAAAGGTGGTAGAAGGAGACAGTAACCTGACTGCTTTGTTGCCTGGCTGTGGGTTTCTATGGATAACTCACTAAACTGATTTTACTCTCATTTTACAGCAGCCAAGAGTTTGTTGAAGAAACCAGATGGAGTAAAGGTAAGTTAAACAGATGCCCCTAATCCATTTCTGATTTTCAGAAGCTGGATAATCTTTAAATGTTAAATATAATTCCTAAGTCTTTGCAAGTTCTATTTTTTATTGTTTCTGATAAAGGTTGCCGGTTGAAATATGAAATGATTTAATATACAAAGATGACTAACATTTATACCAAGAAAAACTGTATTTCTTCTATTGGATTATATATGAAATAGTCATGAAAAAATAATATTGTTATGCAATATAGAGTTCCTATAGAAATTAAATGTCTTAATCTTCTCTGATTCACTACAGTTCCAAACTACCATGGTGACCTAAAAGTCTGCAAAAACCAAATGCTTTTCCAAATAATTATGCTGCATACGTGAAAGCCACTTAAGTATATAGCCTGAAAAATACTCACATTTGGGTATGGAAAATAGAATGTCAAATGTCTAAGTTAATCTATTTGGGCAGTTTTTATAAAGGTCTTAATTATTCCTGTGTTTCTATCATAAGGTGTTGAGATATATTCAAGATGAATGATCTGAACAAATATTAGAAAAATCTTGCAAGAAAAATAACAGCAGGATATTTTTACTTTCTGGCTTTCTAAACAAAATAATACAGTTTCTTTCCTACTGATTGTATATTGTTTCAAGGGGATTTACTCTTGTTGGAATGTAATCTTATATGTGCATAATGATGTTTGTTATCTTTTCAGAGTACCACCTAAATGTTTTATTTCTTTAATCCTTTTCTTTCTCTTCCAAGGACAGATGCATACATTCTTCATCAACACTTCAGCGTTCTTGGGAATTAATTAATTTTCTAACATTTGAATTTGACCCAAAGTCAGGTGGTCAGTTCATATTGAAAACATAACATAGAAAATCATTTGTCACTTTAAATGTTCATGCTCAGTCATTTCTTTGCCACCTGTCTGTGTGCAACTTGGAAATTTTCGGAGCACTGATAACTATGCGTTTGTGATTTCCTTTAGGATGCCATTTCCATTTACCAATTGCTTTCCTCAGCCTGCAATTTTGTCTTCATTCTGATTAGTTTATTCCATTTAGATTTTAAGAATGATAGTTGATGACTGCCTTTTTCCCAATGTTACAATAGTAGAAATGTGGTATCTTACATTTTCCAAATATTTTCTTCTCCTGGGCTTTCCTGTACCATTCAGTGATGGAGAGCTCACAGATCCTATTGAGATATTTATTTTCATTACTATCCTTACGTAGAAAACATTTCCAGAACTTTTTTCTTCCATTCAACTTATAGCTCCTCTTTAAAAACAAAATTATTCTATACTCCATGCTTTGATACTCTAAATTCAACCGGTCATATTTTTTTTCTTTTCCTTTCTCTTTGACTGGTCAATTCAGAAAAGGAAGTCCAGTTCGAGTGTTCAGATGATGGTGAGGATCTCTATCTGCCAGATTTCTCCTCCTGTGAAATTCACACTTAGGAATAAAAGTCTTATTTACCTAAGATAGTGTAAGTGGAGAGGGTGTAGGACCATTACAGGTCAGTGTTAATCAACTATCAAAACACGGTACTCCTCTTACATATTATATTGTTTTTCTCTGAAATTGAATTTGTTAAACATGTAAATAGTTATATTAACAGGTTTGCTCTTTTACAAAAACAAAGTCCAATTTTCTCTTTGAAAATAAAAAGACCATGACAGAATGAATGTCTGTATAGTGATAAGTAAAAACAAACAAACAAAAAAAACCTATGTGATTATTTTTTTAATGTTCTTCATGGTTGCTAAAATAGGAGTGATTTATATGACACCATAAAACATTCACCATGGAGTTTATAAAGGTATGAAAGTGATCTTACAATGTACCAATCCTAGTTAAGTACCTTTACAGGAAATGTTTATTAACCTCAAAACAATAAATTTAACACCTGAGAAATAGGAATATCTTGCCTGTGCCTCATAAGAGTAATTCAGTGCATCATACAATTATCTGATTTGATTATTTGATTCATGATTTTTTAAAAAAGAAAAACACCCTGCTTCTATTAACATAAAATAATTATATCACACAAAAGTGCCAGAGTTCTTGTATGTTATGTTTAAAAGACATCTATGGGCCAGAAGTGGTGTCTCACACCTGTAATCCCAGTACTTTGAGAGGTTGAGGCAGGTGGATTGCCTGAAGTCAGGAGTTCAAGACCAGCCTGGCCAACATGGTAAAACCCCATCTCTACTAAAAAAAACAAAACAAAACAAAACAAAACAAAAAAAAACAACACAAATTATCCGGGCATGGTGGCCATACCTGTAATCCCAACTACTTGGGAGGCTGAGGCAGGAGAATCTCTTGAACCCAGAAGGCAGAGGTTTCAGTGAGCCGAGATTGCACCATTGCACTCCAGCCTGGGCAACAAGAGCAAAAATCTGTCTCAAAAAAAAAAAAAAAAAAAAAAAAAAAGACATTTGTGGTTGAACCCATGCTTTATATTTGACTCTTTGAAAAGAATGTCTTCTTGCCTTTTACTTAGAAATTCTCCTATTAGTTTTCAATAAATTAATCTTATAAATACCTCCAAAAGATTTTTCACAGGAAAAAAATCATTTAGTTAATCTTTACATTAACAAAAAAGCTTTAACTGCACATTAAACATGACCAAAAGTGTGGTTGAGGCACATATTCATTTAACTCATGTTTCCCATACCTAACAATAAAGAATGGCTCACCCAGACAGAATGGCCTTCATCTGGAAGAGATGATGGTGTGTGTATGCTGTGTATCTATATGTGAATGTGTGTAGGTGTGTGTGTGTGGGAGGAGGGAACATGTGCACTTGTACAGATAAGTTTGTATGCATAGGTGTGCAAGTGGGACATTTTCACTAAAATAAAGCAATTCTTGGGCAACCATATCCTAGAAAAAAATCAAGTATCATATCTCAAAATAGACATAAAGTATCTCAGAATATTTCTTTCATTTGCATTCACTGATATAAACTAAATATAGCATATTAAATACATATGGTGCTTTAACCATAAGTGCCCCTGTTCATTTGACAGGAAGCAAACTATCTTTTGCCTAGCACATTTCCCTAATAGGAATTTATTTGTGTGTGCATCCCTCCTCTTTTCTCACGTACCCTGTACTAACATAAATACTGAATTTTGATCCCTCTTTAATAGACTTTTTACCTCTTATCTCTTTGGCTCTTGCACAATATCATGTTAAATTCTGTGCACTTTGATTTAAAGGGAAAAAAGGTTTTAACTCTCTGCAAAATATAGATTGATGACAACATTTATAGAATTTTCCAGTAAAGGAAAGTTTAGAAGTTTTCTATCCTTTCCTGCAGGTCAAACAGCACAGTGTCACAGCTTACTGTAAAAATAACGATACCAGTAATCACACAAATGGAAATGAAAAGGAAGGAAAAATATTACATATTTAAATTAATTTATGATACTTTCTATCTTCCTCTCAATACTAGTTTTGACAGGATATATAGTTATCAGGTATAGACTTCCCAGAAAACCCAAACAATTAAACTGGTGTCACCACTTGTAAATGTTCATTTGATACTCACTTATTTTATATAGTATATGTTTCTCTTTACATCCTTTTATATATTTATATTAAAATAGTGGAGGTATATTCCTTTAGAAAATAATAAATAAAATACCTAGATACTATAGTGTAAGAAAATGAATGTTACCTTACATTTTTGTTTGAGAACCATAACGTAAGTTGTCACGCATGAGTTTAAAAGGATGTTGATTATTACTTTTTAGTCTTTGATTCTTGGTGCCCCAACTCAGTTGTAGTTTCTGGTTGCCACTGTCTACAAAGAGTCTTCTCTGTGAACCGTTAGAGCACTTATTGATCCTCTGAGTTGCTTTTACCACACAGCTTCCACAGTGGTAATGATATATTCTTTAAAGTCAAATCCAGTTATGTTAAAGCAAGGGAATGATATTACCAAATATATTCTGCAGTGATAGCAGTAGCACTGTGACAGAAAATGTAGTATTTTCCTCTTACACAACTGTAAAAATTAAAGTCCTTTTACATTCAACATAAAAAGTTTGATTTCCCCACTAATAATTGAAGATGTAATTTTTAAAGGAGATCTACACTTACCATTTTTAAAAGCTATTGTGACAGCATTTTATCAAAGACCTAAATTCTCATTGGATAATTTAATTGCTCCTAAGCAAAGTAATGATGGATCCCCAGAGAAAGATCGTCTATATGTGACTTCAGGCTCAAGAATAAAATGGGGGAAGAAAGAAATGTATTTATAACAGTGAACAATTGGAAGCTTGGAAACAGAATCCACTTGAAGAGTATGAGAATGGTTATATTCATTTCATACTCTGAAACCTGATTGGAGCTCCATTGAAGCAGTTCTTTGTTTGCTAAGGTGGCATAGCAACAGCAGACACGTCTGTTTTCTCATTGCACCATCACGGACATGGTCCAGCCTGTGTGTGACCATCGGAGACTAGCGATCATCATTCCTGTCAGTCGTCACCATGTCTTTCACGTTCATCTTCAGTGGCTCTTTATCTTCATGTCTACATCTCCATGTAGACATGCTGCGTCTAGAGATATTGGCTACCAAGGGGTTTAAGGCATCTCTGTTTCTATTTTCTGCATACCCACAGATAAACAACAAAGCCAACGTGGTAACCAGCCCCAAAGAAAATATTCCTACCCCGGCGCTGGTATACCTGGACTCTTTTGTAACCCTTCTTAAGTTCTTTACCTTTTCTTTTTTTTTTTTTTTTTTTTTGTGATTTCTCTCATTTGCTTTCACTATATAGATACCATATATATAAATATTTTATTTCGTTGGATGTTGGGTTTTGTTTTTTTGGTTTTTTGGTTTTTTTTGCTTTCTACGATATGACAAAGTTTTTTTTTTTTTTTTTGAGTTTTTTTGGTTAAGTTAGTTGTCAAGCAGTGTGTTCTAACATGAGATTATCTCATTTCATTGTTGAACATTGTACTGATAGCTGTGGTCTCTGTAGTTGGAATTATTGCATGCTGCATTCAAAATACAGCGCTTTGGTTGCTCTTAGCTCTTCTGATGATGATAGTTCTAGATTATGCAAACAATGGTTTCTTCTTTTCATGATGCAAATGCTGACATCAAGGAGAGCTAATGGGATTGTTGCTAGACAACATAAAAGTAGACCTTATTCAGAGTTCTTGTTTCCCTCTTATTAAAACACAACAGGGCTTTGTAAGACTTCACTTTCTGAGATAAAGAGGCACTGGATAATTTAGAGCTTTTTGTTTATTGTGTTTGAAATTAAATTGTCACTGTTTCACTTTAATCCAAAGAATGAAATTCCAAAGAATAGAGCTTTGAATTATCAGTGGAAACCAGTTATGTCTATCTCAATCAAATCCACACAATTAACAACTAAATTAGTCTAACACTTTGAGATGGTATTATGTTAAAATTCAGAATTTGAATACCGTCATTCAGTGCCCTCTGAGTTCCATAACGTTTTCCCTAAACTATTTCATATTTTGATTTATGATTTTCAGAATTTTTTCAATTATTTACTGTTCTCATGCTCTTATTTTAAATAAATTTTACAATGTTAGGGAATCATTTCACTTGAGTTAACTATGAGGCTCCATTTAAAAACATTTAAAAGAAGGACACATCAGGCTGGGCGCGGTGGCTCACGCCTGTAATCCCAGCACTTTGGGAGGCCGAGGTGGGTGGATCACAAGGTCAGGAGATCGAGACCACGGTGAAACCCCGTCTCTATTAAAAATACAAAAAAAATTAGCCGGGTGTGGTGGTGGGTGCCTGTAGTCCCAGCTACTCAGGAGGCTGAAGCAGGAGAATGGTGTGAACCCGGGAGGCGGAGGTTGCAGTGAGCTGAGATGGCGCCACTGCACTCCAGCCTGGGCGACAGAGTAAGACTCTGTCTCAAAAAAAAAAAAAAAAAAAAAAAAGAAGGACACATCAAGATAGCAGGTTATCTACTAGTAACAGACAATGTTGATCACAGCTGTAGCCAAAGGAAAGGGAGAATGGAAGCAGTGCATATGTTCTCTCTCAATATTGCAGCAGTGTAAACTATAATGGTGGGAGAGTGCCCATGGTTGAGAACTCCCAGAGGGTTGCAATACCTCCCCATTGCCAAGATACCACATAAAGAAGGTGCCAGGCATGTCACTGGTGTATGCATATTGCATCTTTTTTTTAAATCAGTTATTTGAGTGTTATTCTCCACTTGGGAATATTTCTTTGCTTTCTGACAGAAAACAATAGAAAAACCAATAATTTCTTCATAAAAAAGCATGACTTTACAGCCAAATATCCTGCATATATAGTCCATAAAGTGGAAGGTTTTTTTTAGATATGAATTAACATAGGATTTAATAGCAATATGCCTCAAATTATAGTGATTATATGATTAGTTCTAGAACCCTTTAGGTAAACTTTTAAAATATTCCTTAAAATTTTTATGGACTTTTGAAACGGATTCTTTAGTATAGTCTTTTTTTAAGTGTTGTCCAATGGTTCTAGATTTTACAAGGGTATTCAGTTGTGTGTTAATTATATTAATGATGCCATAATCAAGTTTCAAACCAATATAACTGAAAAATATCTTCTCCGAGAATTTGAAATCATCTCGAAGTTTTACCTCCAGTGTCTTTGGCAGTTCTCTATGGGGCAGACATTCACAGGCCACTCATTAAAGAAGAAAGGAAAGCATAGGATTAGGTGAAACAGTGAGTGCCTCTTCAAGTCTCTAAATATCAAAGCCTTGTTTGAATGCTGATCAAGAATAAGGTCTTTTGCATGCTGCTTCTGGGTAGGGAGGTTCCTATCTCATGGGCTCGCCAGGGAGATCTTTCATCAGAGATATTGTCAGCTGCAACTCTGACAGCAGTTAACATCGCTTTAGCTCTTGTCACTATTTCATTTTGTCAGCTGGCTCACTCTGCTCTGTCCCTCACACTAGAAATAATGTACTTACCAATGCGAACTGTTTCTTTCTCTATTTTGTTCTCACTCAGGAGCCCCAAACTACTGTAATCCACAACCCTGATGGAAACAAGGTATTCAGAAAGAATCAACATCATCTTGCTTTAACAAGACTATACATCTCATCAAATATTCAAAAAAATTAATTCATTATCTAAAAATAGGGAAGAAAATTCTAACCATTTTCTACCACACTTCCTTTTGGGCCTAATTTGTCTATAACTGTGGACATACTTCTTGCAAATAAAAATGAATGATATCTCGAAAGAGAAACTAATGTTCCCATGAGTCAATAAAAGTCAGGCTAAACGTGAATGAAGTCTTTATGTCAAGATGACTGTGTGTCTTAAGCAATTCCATCTGGTCACTTTTTTTTCCCAAGACTTTGTGCTTTGTACTGTAAATATATTGTGCATGGTATTTTAGAATTTCTGGCAATATCATTCCATTGTCTTCAAAAATATCAACTTGACTTCATAGGTTTTTTTTTTTTTTACTTTAGTGTTACTTTTGAGTTTTATTCTATTCTGTTGTCAGAGTGGGTTGTTTTTGTTTTTACTGTTTGTTTCTTAATTCCCTGTTGGTGGTGATGATGTTGTTGTTGTTATTGTTGTTGTTATTTGGCATGAATTTGAGGAGAATCAGGGAGTTTCACTTTTTGTGCAATATGTCTGTTGTTGAGTAATACATATTCCAGTAACAGGGGTTTAACTACTTAGCCTGAAAGAAGACTAATTGTTTCCTATACATTATAAATTATTTGTATAGCATGTTAACTAAATAACAGCACTAGCATATATGTCTATAGGATGAAAGACCTTTTCTGAATTTATTCCATGTGTCCAATTTATTACTTTTCATACATTATTATATCTCTAAGGGAAGAAAAAAAATACTGAACTTTTCTCAAATACTAGATATAGTCATACATCTTCTCCATGCTCTTATCAATGATGTTTAAGACTTAGAAAGCACATTTTATCTTAAGACTTAGAAAACACATTTCCTCTCTGGTTTAACATGTAGTTGATCAATATTAAAACCATTAAAGTAAAAAACATGAAGTGTTATGTTCTTTAATATGAGATTTACTTTATAGTCATGACACTGCAAATGGTCTAGGTCCCGAAAAGCCTTGAGGTAGTCAGGACCATCACATATGAGAACAATTTTTTTAATAGCATTAGCCAATGAAACGCCGAGCATAACAGCTGGAATGGACACTTCAGTAGTTCTAGCTATATCATTTGTAAGAGTTACTGCATGATATTTCTTGCTTACATGAATTAGTTTAATTTTACAGTGCATGGGTTTACCTTCATTTACAGCTTAAATTTGAATACTAGGTCACATTAAGAAATGCATGAAGATTCATTTCTTTGGTTTTGTGTGTATGGAGACTCTGGGTACACCTTTAATTAGTTTTTCCCTTGGTTTAAATATTATATATGATATTTATATAAATTTATCACCTTTTGGAATACTGAATCTCTAAAATGACACTGGCTGGTGTTTACATTATTTTCCAGAATCTGTTTTCCATTACTGAGCTATTGACTGGAAGTTTGTTTCCAGTTATTTTTGGCTCTAGCATTTAAATCATTCCAAGTAGAAAACATGTCTTTCTTATGAATATTGCAAAATGTATTTGCTAGAAAATATTTTATTCATACATTATTAATGAACACATTTATCATACCATTTTAAGAAGTATATCTTAATTCTGGCAGTTATAGTGTATTTTTAAGTGTGCTTAACAATCTTCCACTTAATTTGTAGTTTTACAAAGAAAGAACTTTGTCTTTTTATTATGGAAGTAGGTTTCTTATCAATAACAGCCAGTTTCTAATTTTGAAAAGAATGAAAAAAGTCTAATTGTCCTTGAAAGTAAATTATTCATTATAATTCCATTGTGCTGAGGACAAACATGAAAATTCTTCTGAAAAGTACTTTCAGCATATCTCAACTTAACCCCCTTAGCTTCTTCATCAAATGATGCAGTGAAATGCTTTCTCTCCTTATAAAGGAGTAAAGCATACAGGCTTTAACATAGTGCCTGACACAAAGAAGGTACTCTTATTGGTTAATTAATTGGGAATAAAATTTTTTTCTATTTTAAGTTTCAAATTCATTCGGCTAACATATTCAACTGCTTGTAAACACACAGAAAAAGCAAACCTTATAGGGCACTGTAACACAAAACACATCCTTACACAGTTTTTAAGGCTAACTGCATACTTCCGCTGCTTCTACAAATCACCTGGATTTATACAGCTTCGGAGATTAGGCAACCAGAGTACTCCCTGTTTGAAATGTTTGCAGCATCAGACATTTTATTTCTGTTAAAAACCACTTAATGTGTTTGTCCATTTGCATGTCAGCATATGCACATAGCCTGCTGAAGAATTTTGCATGATATGTATGTCACTAGCCAATTTTTAAAGATGAAATCAAACTATTCATTGCGTGCAACCTAAAAATGTGTTTTCTTCTCATCAGGAGTCAACTGAGAGTTCAAATACAACAATTGAGGATGAAGATGTGAAAGGTATGATTTAACCAGAAATGGAAAATCCTAACTCAGAGCTTCATATATATATACATGAAAAAAAAAAGTGCTTCAAATAACTAATAAGTTTAGGAAGTAGGCCTATCCTAAAACACAAAAATATTTTATTTATGAGTAAAAAAATATTTTTATAAGTACATAATTATTTCAACAATATGTTACTTTTGTCATTTTTCCCACATATTCTTTTGTATATTTTGAACTGTAGACATGTAGCATATTCTAGCACATTGCAGTAATGACAACTAATAATGAGTTGCTAGTTATAGGAACATAACAAATTGTAAATTTGTCAGTCAAAAAGTAATATAAAATGTATTCCCATTGGGTACATTCATAAAACTTATCTGGAAAACAATTTATATTCAAGGATACAGTATAAAAATAACTTTTTAACTTTTAGTCATCTCAAGTAAGTATCAGTAGAATTTTCTATTTGGCCGCCTTTTTATCCTAGTTTTTTGTGTACATTCCAAAGATATTTTTGACCTCCATTCACTTTGGTTGCCAAGGTTTTTTTAGCTACGTGTATGAGTCATTGGTAGTGTTTCTACAGACATCTTCTCAGTGCCCCTGCACACATATACTGAACACACATTTGCAGTTAGGTCACCTCCTTTGGCCACATCACTATTTTAGAAGTATTACTTTTGTATTAATTGCATTTGCAGTTTTATGTTGTTTTTGTAATTCATTGTATATAACTACAATCTCTATAGACCAGTTATCTAGAAGACATTCTGACAAACAGCGGTAACAGTAGGATTTGAAACAGAAATATTAAAGGAAACGAAATATAAATTGGGAGCAATGATCCATAAATTAATTAAACCTCATCTGAAAAGATTACTTACCTAATAGTATCACCATAAGCTTTAATTCTAAAGGTAGCATTAATACGATAAAGTCTTGAAAAGTTGTATTCATGTTTTAGAATAAAGGACTTGGAAATTCTCAGGTCAAGGAGACATGGGGTCAATTTAGAGAATAAAAATTGCTATAGATCACAACTTGCCAGTCAGCTCTGCTGACTTTTTCCTTTTTGTGTGAATAGAACAGCTGATGCTATTAAAGTGTACTCTCTATTTATATAACTAAGCACACTGACCTAACTCTGCTAGAGGTAGTCAGTCATTATTTTTTACAGTGGAAAGGTAGATAGCTGTGTCAAGAATTTTATTTAGTAGCTCTATTCATCTCACTCTTTCACTTAAGCTAAAATTTGAACTGAAGTAGTTTGATGAATCATTTATACCAGTCATATTAGATTGAAATATCTTTTTTTTTTTTTAGCCAAATAAATAGATAAGCCATTTAGCTTTCCCAGTGATTCAGGAAGCATTATCTTTGTGTTTTGGATTCATTAGCTCTTTAAGCTAAGCTAAATGTTTCATATGAATTTTTACATTCTTCCCTTGAGCATGACTAAGAAAACTTGTTCATTGTCCACTGGAGAAACTGAATCTTTAAATAACTAAATAAAATTAGGAGAATACTAGCACCTCACTATATGCACTTCATCTGCACGTGATCATGAGAAGGGTTTTATTAAGTGGTCTTTCTCACCTGAATTTGGCATTCAGCTGTACTAAGTATTGGTTCAGGATCATTGTTATTAATCTATGTAAATATTAATGTATAAACAGAGTTCCTGTCAGTGTTACCTTGTAGTTTGTAATTTCTTTTTAATAAAATGAAATAATAATGTCAGTTCTTAGAAAACAGTTCTCCAATTCAAATCATAACAATGATATGGGTTTCATCTTGCCTCTGGGATTTCATAAATTGAGATAGTATTTGTATTATAGATACATTGAGTCTATATACAACAAGTATTAGACAAATTCAGCAGCATATTGAGATCAAAAGAAATGTCCAGTTGCTCGTTTAACCCAAAGTGCTTTGGTTTATTCCCTTAATAAATGCATTATTTAAGTTTCTGCTTAATTTTACTGGTGTAGATCTGGCCAAAAATGTCATAGCCATACCTCATTAGGACTCATTTGTGTTCTCTATAAGACCCAGACAGCCTTTTGTAGACTAACCCTTTTAATATTGAATGATATCAGAAACCTTTAAGACTAGAAGACACTTTGAAAGATTGCCTAGGCGCCATCATTTTTACTGGGGCAAGTGGTACATAAAATGGTCTTAAATGATTTGAAATTATTTATTATGCTGATTATCTGTGTGAGAATCTCTCCATTTATCAGTGCGTGGTCCTCAAGAAAGACCCTATATGTGAATAATTATGCTGTCTCATTTTTACTTTAGAATCTCTGTGGCTCTCAGTAGCTTGGTAGGGAATGTGTTTATTGTCCAGTTCTGTTGAAACCCAAATTTACTCATATCTAACATAACTAACATCCAAGAACTCACAAATACTATCAGTTAAATAATCTGACCAAAACTGTATCCTATCTACAAAGCCATGTCATATCTACAAAATTGTGTGTCTTCCACACACATACTTTTCAACCTTCTCTTTTCTGTAGACAACATTGTTATCAGTGAGACACCACACTTATTGACATATTCTTAAAGGCATGCCCCCATACATACTTCTGCATGCGAGCATATGCTCTACCCATTGCTGCTGGCTGCCTCGGATATAGTGCATCTAACACCAGCACCTAGACGTACGTTGTTTTATGATGGCACATGATTCCTTGAATAGCATGTCACGTACCTCCCATGCCAAGGCAGTGCACATTCTGCCCCATCCCCAAGGACTAACTGGCAGGGACAGCTTCTGTGTCCTCTCCAATGTAAAGAAACATGGAGTTGCTGGAGGAGGGGATTAAACACTGTGGTGACCTGGTCAAAGGAAGAAATGAGGTAAACTAACAACAGAGTTTTTCTTTCTGGCCTCTTTGAGTGGGAAAAGGCAGACAGGCCAGCTGTTCTCAAAGATAAAAGAAAGCAAAAGTAGTCAGAGATTAATGGTTCTTCAGTCTGGAGCACCTTAGAGAGCCAAGATTTAAAGGCCCATTTTCTTCAGCTCTTCTTACTAGTTTCCATTGAGAAATCATGGCCCCAGTCTGTGTAATACTTTTGAATTGTGTCTAGGCTGTTTCTTCATTCAGCAAATATTTATTGAATCCCTTCTGTTTACCTAAGTTCCATGTGCTTCTCTTTGTGAACTAGTCGTGTTCAAGAGATTTGAATGTGTCAAAATGCTGCTTCCTACCCTTTATATGAATCTTGTTGTGCTATAATGTAGGCCCATTTATCTTACTTAATACAATAGCTATCAGGAAAAATTAGTGAAACCCAACATAAATGCATGTTTTATCCAAAAAAAAAAAAAACTCAGTGAAACCCAGGAAAAAAGTGAGACCCAAGATAAATATATTTTTAAAATCTAAAAGTTATTTTATTTCCTTTTTCTTAAATACCTTCAACATTTAGCTCTAACCACATTTTTCTTCCCAAGCTCATAATCATCCTAAGGGACTTGAATTGTTTTACAACTCTTCTTTCTAAAAAGCTTCCAGAGTTCATTGTTTTCTTTCTCCAAGGCAATGTGTTAACACCCTAGTGTTGACCTTTTGAGCAACTTTCTAATTTTGTTCTGTGTTTAAAACCAAATATCTCTGATGCTGTGTGAGGAAACTCAGCAGCAAACTCAGTGTCATGGAGAGTTACTAATAGTTTAAAAGCAAATGGGAGTCTGGGAGTGGTGGCTCACACCTGTAATCCCAGCACTTTGGCAGGCTGAGGCAGGCGGATCCCTTGAGGTCGGGAGTCCAAGACTAGCCTGACCGACATGGTGAAACCCTGTCTCCACTAAAAATACAAAAATTAGCTGGGCACGGTGGTACGCACCTGTAATCCCAGCAACCCGGGAGGCTGAGGCATGAGAATCACTTGAACCTGGTGGGTGGAGAATTGCAGTGAGCCGGGATTGTGCCACTGAACTCCGGCCTAGGTAACAGAGTGAGACTTTGCTTTAAAAAAAAAAAAAAAAAAAAAAGCCAGTAGCAGTGGCTCACACCTGTAATCCCAGCACTTTGGGAGGCCCAGGCAGGCGGATCACAAGGTCGGGAGATCGAGACCATCCTGGCTAATACGGTAAAACCCCATCTCTACTAAAAATACAAACAATTAGCCGGATGTGGTGGCAGGCACCTGTAGTCCCAGCTACTTGAGCGGCTGAGGCAGGAGAATGGCGTGAACCCAAGAGGCAGAGCTTGCAGTGAGCCGAGATCGCGCCACTGCGCTCCAGCCTGGGTGACAAGCGAGACTTCGTCTCAAAAAAAAAAAAAAAAAGCGAATGGGAGTCCTAACAAAGCATAATTGCCATCATGGAAGCACTGTGGTAACAACTGCCTATCCTATACTAGGAAAAAAAGTTTTCTCCTTACAGCTAACTAGTGTTTTCAAAATACACAATTCTTTAGGCCAAAAATTATTTAAATAGGCATTTCCATTTTTAATCCATTTCCAGGAAAACAGTTACTTCCATTAATTTAAGGGGTTATCAAACAGCTGTCATCATTAGCTCTTAATTAGCAGTTGACAGTACAAACCGCACTCTTCGCCAGGAATGTGGGTGTGCCTAGAGTCAGTGATGTGTAGCAGGAGTTCTTTCCACACTGTATACATTTGAAGACTGCCCTTTGGTTTGTGGCTGTAGCCACAGTTTGCAGAACCTGTCGCTGTAAGCCACAATGCCTCTCCGCCTCATAACCCGTCCAGCACCATTGTTCAGAGTCACCTACTTCCTTCTAATGGGTGTGTGTCCATATGGTCCATCTGCTGCTGTTTCCCAGCATTCCTGTGCAGCACCTGTTGAAGTTGGGCTCCTGTATGTCTTTGTGTCATTTCTGTCACCATCCTGTTTCCAGTATCTCACTTCAGCTCACCATTCACCACGAGCTTGGATCTCTTGCTGTATTTCATCCTTCTTACAGATCTAGGAAAGTGGAGCCCTTTACAACAGGCAGAATCTATGGCTATGAGACTGTGTGTAGAGA